TTCTTTTGAAGACTGAAGCCTCCTCCTTGCAACGAGTCCCTAAAAATTATTGTACGATATTCTCTCGTCATTTCATTGACCTTTGAACACCAAAATTTTGAACTCGAGAAATTCTGATAGAAAACAAAATCGTGCGGCAAGTTTCAGGAGATCGTTGTAAAGAAAAAATTTGAATCTTCCAAATCAGTTGAGAATCTAACCGTGAGAAAAATTTTGTCCGTGCTTTTGGAAACGTTTGAGTTTCTACAATTTTTAACACAATAATTTGAAATATCGACGATTCGTTCGTTATTGGTTCAATTACAGTCTTCGCTGTAAATTAAAAAGTGTCTTGACATACTATTATGTTCTAATATACAATTATAATATATAATATATAATATATAATATATTAAATTGTAATATATTTTTCGTACTTGAAATATTGACAATTTTTCATCATTATTGGTTCAATTACACTCTTCACTGTAAATTAAAAAAAATGTCTCAACATACTATTATGTGCTAATACACGATTAATATATAGTATCATATTATAATAACATAAATAATATATTAATACATAAACGTAACATAATGTCTCAATACACAGTTACACAATAACTCCTCAACGAAAATAATTTTTGACCTTATCCGCACGAAGATTGTATCAATCGTATCCTCGCGATCTGAAACGTTAAGACGGTGGAAATTCAAGGTGGAGACGGGGTGGTCTTCTTGGACGTGGAACAAAGTCGACGGGACACCCAAATCCTGTTAGTTGGCAAGTAGAATGTCCTGTCGCCAATCAACGCGGGTCTCGCGTTTAAAGTAGCCTTGACACCCTCGCCACGGCCCCGGGCTACGAAAAGCGACGAACATCTCTAGCAGAAATCAGAGGAGATACACGCGGACAAGGTGACACGGCCCGGTTCCCAAAGGACTATGACCCGGCCAGGACCTTAAACTCCAACCCACCGCACTCTGGACCCACCCTTTCCACCCTCCGCACTGCGTCACTCCGGCTACACAACCGGATCTGGGTTAGCCGGGTGAAATCAGAGTTGCCGGAATCTTTCGCGGAACGTCTGTCTACCGTATGCACTTCCTATAGTCCCAAAATAGAAGTTTCCCCAAGACGGACCTTGTGTATCTCGTGATCTTTCTTTGGAAACTGTCCAAACGTGCATTTCTGCTCTATGCGCGGCGAGCGAAATATAAAAGCGAGGTGACGTTCGGACGTTGGAAAGAGAATTTTTCGTTTCTCTCTCTCTCTTTCTTTTTTTTTTATTAGTTTTTCTTGTAAAGTTTTCGTTACGAAGACCCGATTTCTTTCGATGTCCAAATGAACACTCATACGTTTGTTACTTATAATAATATAAGCTGAGACGGTGAAATACGTCGGCTTTTCTTCTGAAAATTTCTTTCTTCATCCAAGTGAAGTAGTTTTGTAAAATATCTAAATTTCAATTGTCTTCTCTGGATCACCGGATTTTAACGGTTAAATTTTTGTGGCGAGGCAGAAATTACAACGCAGTAACACATTAAATAGAGCTGGGCATAATTTGCTAGAAATTAGGGGGTTCACCGTTCTATTTATCCCTAGAGAACTCGTCCGTAATTTCTACTAAATTACCTCTATTAAACTAATGAATTTACAAATTGCTACGAGCGCCATTCTTCTGGCAACTCGTACCATCCAATTGAGATATTAACAGAATTGTTTAATGTAATTTCGTATTTTTTTCATTAGATTACTTTGAGAACTGCATTCTGTGGACTTTTGCACTCTCCAAATTTTCCCGAAATGCAGAAATGCCGCATTGTTTTATTTAATTAATCCCCAACGAAAAAATAAAAATTCACAGAAAGCTACTTCGAGACATCGGCATGGAAAAAACGTTTCGAATTAATTCCTGCAATTTCATCTCCACGGCAAAGATTTCGAGGAATCGTGTATATTTCTCATATTATTCCGAGAAATATACCGTTGAACTGTCTAAAAGGTTGACAAAAGAATCTTTTCGTTCTCAATTTTCCGTCCTGTCCCTTTATAAACTTGTTTCCTATCAACAATCGTTGCACAAAGCGAACGAGGAAGAATATTGAGAGCAAAGGTAATACACGGAGGAAATGTCTAAACGGCCATTTAACTACAAATGTCTGTAAAAGATCGACTTACAGCTGTTTAATAGAAAGAAAGACAGAAAGGGAGAGACATACGGAAGAAAAATGGGAACAGAGAGATTTAAACCCTCGACTGGTATCGTTGGACGCTCGTTGGCTATTTAATTTTGGAATTTTTTCAATTTCGTTTCATTTCATCCCTTCATTCTCAGTCGTCAGAAATATAATGAAATGCTCCAGATACTCACTGAACGTTGTGACATATCGACGATTATTGTGTAAAACAAACAACGAACGCATACGTTTTCAAACGTATATCTTAATATTTTGATATCCCATCCAAATCTCTGATTGTCTCAAATTGGTCGTACGAGACTCTGATACCAAGCTAGGAGAGAATCTAATATAAATTGTTATAATCTATGAATTGTTAAGATATAAAAATATATATAAATTGTTATAAATATACACAAATATAGATATAGATATATACAAATATATATAAATTGTTAAGAATCTAATATAAATTGTTATAATCACCTATAACCGAACTTGCGATACTCCTGACAACAAGAACCTCTTTCACTATGCATCACGCGTCGATCGAATACCATCACCATTGACTAACTAGACTGGACATCCAATTCTTTCTCGTGTTCCATGTTTTGGAGGGTCCCCTTACCATTTTTCTGTCACATTCTGCCATATCGATCTAGGCAGACCTTGCACCGCAGCGCTGCTAGCAATAGGAATTAAAATTAGAAAATATGAATAACGTTGTTACACTGAAGATTATTCATTAAGTTCAACGCGAACGTTTTCTCACTTGCATAGCTATTTTAAAAAGACGACCAATGATCAACTTAATTTTTGACTGTAGCCCAATTATTCTCTGCATAAATTAGCATTTATGTCTTTGCTTATGCCTGACCATAACCACGTTGACTTGTACTACTTGTGTATATCCGACCATACGCTGATTCGTATCACTTCCTTATTTCTGGTCGTACATTGACTTGTACTACTTGTTGATCTCTGATTGTACACCGACATACACTAGTTGCGGATTTCTGACCGTATGTTGACCTGTACTACTTGCCAATGTCTGACTTATAGTTGATTTATCCGTAACAGATTCGATTTTACTTAATCAACTTGCATCGTTTTACTTGATAATCGTTCTCCAGTTGGACATTCACTGTTGAGAGCGTTAAAAAAAACCTGTGGCCATTTTCCTCATTGATATTTCAGAGCCCGAGACGCTCTAAAGTCTCCTTATTCAATGTCCCGATCTGTTCTATCTTCAGTCAATGCCATCACGCACGTTTCCGTCACCTCTCTCCCGCTCTCTCCCTTTTCTTCCTCCTTTTAAAACACACCCGCCAGCCTCCAGCTCCTCTAATCCATTTATCCAAGATCCATCCAGCAACTTTTATCAAATTCCGCCCCGATAAAAGTAGATAGAGGCGGATACCTGCGATACCTCGGGTCACGCTCGCAGATCAAACTCGCAGATCCATCTTCTTTATCGTTCGAGCGTTCGTCGCGAGAATCACCGACGGTGGAGATCCATCGGAGGCGAGAGAGGCGGTTACAAAAATTGGACGCGTGTTTCGCGAGCCTCTCGGCTGCGAGAGGGAACGAGCCAGCCACTAGATCCCGTTGTATCTATTTTTCACCCAGGATGCCAGGCACACGCGCGCGCACGGTCCACCCGGTTTCGCTTCTCTGAAATCTATCTTCCTCCGGCGCGAACGGACCTTGGATGCATAATGCATCCGGCGGACAAGCACTTAGGTCAGCCAGCGACATTCATTTTACCGCGGCCGTCCTTTGAAAGAAAGAAAAAAAAAGAAAACGATTTTTACGCGCGTCAGCTTACTGGTAACTGAGAAGATCAGCGACACTCTTTCAAGCTCCATCGTATAGTGACTTAGGTTAACACGTTCGCGAACAGTAAAAATTTCATCGAGCTGCAAAAAAAAAGAAAGAGAGATGTGATTTATTTTTAAACTAATTGCGTCATCTACATTTTTTATTTAATCACATTTTGTCCAAGTGCTCAGAATATCACAATAGCTATATATAATGAATGCTATAGCACTATTCACGTCCCTGTTAACAAAATTCAAAGTATTCTGTTTCACGTTCTCCACGAGAGGAGATTAGTGTCTGATAAGGTTCGAATGAAAAATTTTCGAGGCTAATTAACTAGTAACTCTCCTCCTTATTTGGCAGATTTTCTCTGCGTTCGCTGGAAATTTTTAAATTCGACTGAATGAAAAATTTTCAAGGCTAATTAACTCTCTTCGCAATATTCTGTTTGGCTGCAGATGTTTTACGCGTTCGCAGGGAATTTTGAGACGCACAGTTGTGCAAAATAGCGCGTAACACGGAAAATTATTCAAAATGATATTCGACACTCGCGTGATACAATTTTCTCGAAGCTACAAATTCCCATGCGAAAATCCACTGATTACTGAAAGTTCCATTCATTTCATCGATGAACATTAAGCAATATAAACAACGGAACAGGGAAGGGAGAAATCATAAAACAAGCGTTCGACCATCCCGTTGAAAAGGATGATAGACATATCAGGATTACCCATAGATATCTGCGGCCCAACCATTATATCCGATGAAATATATTTTTCCATTTTTCACCTCTGTGTTTACTCTTTGTCCCTCTATTCAAATCGTGCTTTTAATGAAACCCGGATAAATCTGATAATAGAGAGAGAGAGGGAGAAAGACGAATCCGTAAGCTGCATAAACGAAATAAATCTTCGTTATTAAAACGGGTTTAATAAATAAATATATGATTTAATGAGGAAACAATTCCTCGAGTTAAAACCAGCCGTCGTTTCATCGATCGATTTTCTCGTCGATTGCAGGTACTTGCAACGCACGCTTCCATTCATCGACCATACCAGGACGGCGATATGGGGTTGGAGTTACGGTGGATACGCGACTGGCATGACGCTCGCCATGGATTATCACGGTGTCTTCAAGTGCGGCATGTCCGTGGCACCTGTAACAGATTGGGCTCTTTACGGTACGTCCAACGATGATAATATTTCCATCTGTCAGCTTGAACGATACCTGCTACGTCGTTATTTTATGGTCATTTCGTTCTTTAAATATCGGACAATCACTTCATCATCGTACTCGTCTTTGTACTCGCAGATTATAGTATCGTTGGATCATTGATGACTAGAATAATCTCTGTTGAATCATCAAAGTTTCATCCCTTTTTTCCATTGATTTAAACTGGTCGAACCAGAATCTAGGATATATTTAATTTTATTTCGTATTTTGCACGTTCCACGATATAAAATTCGTCGGTGATAAAATTCAATTAAATGAAGAGAGTCTCAGGTTTTTCTGATCAAAGTTACCCGCGTTACGTACTCCGCGTATTTTTTTTTTTTTTTTTTATACTGCAATATTTATGGTGGCTTGAAATAATAATTTTTATTGACTCGAAAACGTGAAGATTTCGGCCGTATTTATCGACTTTTTATTGAGAATTTTATTGAAAATTTTATTAGCGCTCTGAGATTGTCGACACTGTCGTCGTAATATCGGCCAAATTTGAAATCAATCTGAAAATGCATATATAAATTGCAAATACAACATCGAGCATTGAGGTGTGTTTGTTAATGATAATGAGTGATCGACTGTTCAAATACTTTTCTGTGGCCTCGGCGAACTGTGAATTCAAATCCGGTGTTGGATATCTCTTAAATTTCTGTTTGCACCCCTGCGTTTCCGTCAACGTTGTATTGAATATTATCTTTCATTAGCGACGCTTGGCCACAGAACGTTCACAACGAGAATCTGGCCCGAGAGTCTGTCCCTGTTTGAACGGTAAACCAGTTAAACCTTCTGCGTTCGACCCGGCGAAATTTGCTCTGCCTAGTGTTCATATTCGAGGGGCGAATGTGAGCGTCCTTAAACCTCCGCAAATGTAATTCCCAAGTGTGTTTAATTCCAAACGATCGTGGAAACACGTGGAGCGACGTAGAGATACCTGCTGCAAGAGATAAACTTATCGTCGTTATCAACGCACCCGGTATTTAAGGTGAGCAAAGGAACACTGACGACGAGACGCATTGTTCAAGACGAAATTTTATTTCAACGCGAAAAATATAAAATCATGACATACTATGGTAATTTAAAACCTATACAAAATTATAAGCAACTTGATAACAACGAAGAGAGAAGTATAATAGTGGTAACAACAAAGAAGGAACGAGAACATAATCGATGTCCGTGGAAAAGACAGGAGTGTGTTTTGTCAAGAGAGTTTTTAATAAAATTTTATAATTTCAATAAAATTTAATGGAATTTTTAATTAGAACAGTTTTAAACGGGTGTGTATATATATTCTCAACAAAAGTTGTTGCATTTTTATAATTCCCTTTACATTGCAGACGATTGCATTGCGACAATTCACTTAGATGTTAAAAAAAGAAATGTTTGTCCAAAGAATAAATAATCGAGAGATTATTAATTTTTATCAGCAAGTTTCATTGCAACGTTTGGAATAACCAACTGGACAAGTTATAATGATAAAAAGGAACCTCGAAGGATGAGGGATAAGAACATGGCCGATATAATCGATACCTATAAAGGTGACATCGACGGAAGGAGGAGAGGAGAGAGAAACGAAATAGTCGCGTTAAAAATGTGCATCGACGAGGAAGATCGAGCATCCCCCCTTCTCCTCCGAATGCTCGATCCCGGCAGGGACGATGACTCCTCGTCGAGGAAATAAATCTGATATCTGGAAACGCGAGCGTAGCCTAGCTGCGACAAGACCCTCGACAATAATTGAATCGATCGAGGCTGAAACGAACCGTCGACGAGTCCCAACTTCTCGTCTTTCGCTTCTGCTCCGTTACCTCGGCTCCTGGTACTTACACTTCTACCGTGCAAATCATCGTCGAACCGGCGCTGTATCGCGCTCTCAGTTCCTCCGTTTTCTATTACCTCGTCAAAGGATATTTTACCGATTCCCTGCATCGTCTTATCAATATTCTTTTTTTCTCTCTCTCTCTCTTTTTCTCTTCTTCCGTCCCGTAACGCTTTGCCAATCTTGATCGATCTAACGACGATTTATTTGGCGCGATTCTATTCGAATTTCGATAAGTATTCTTTTCGTCTTAGAGTGTTTTCTTTTTTTTGTGGAATATGGATTGTGGTAGGTTAATTCTTAATTAAACGTTTCATTGATGTACCTTTGACGTACCTTTCGAGTCATTATTTTCTAATCTAATTTTCTGTTCTAATCGGTTGACTAGTACTTTACCAATTTATTTTGCTTCGTGTATTAATATTAATATCTTTTTCGTTAGGGAAAAATTGCCTTTGCCAATCTTCAAACTGTTCTTCTTCAAAAATTTGGTTATTTTTTCTTAATTAATATTTCATCTGTCCGGTTTTCGTTTTTTTTTTTTTTAAATATTTCTACCGATTTTACACTAGTGAGCAAGATCAAAGAATCGTCAAATTTACGACGAGAAATTGTCAATGTTTGAGTTGTTATAACTACGTGGGAAAAAATTGAACGTCGAGTTTTACGGGGCCGTTATAAAAGGCAGACTTCGATTTTTGAATTCATGGTGGTTTTTGTCACGGCAGAAATTGTTTCAGCATCCGTTTCAGCGCCGTTTGAATTTGTACAATTTTCAAAAAGAGAAGCATCTTTTCTTTAATGATTGTAAAAAGATAAGCGAACGAGCTCTGAACGACTGTCGTACAATTTTTTCCCATCAGCAATCGTTCATCGAAAATTTAGCGATCCTTTTAATTTCGCTCCGTTTTAAAAATGCCTGACTTGATTTTTTTCAAGTGGTATTATTTTATTTCGGATTCTCCGCGTCGCGATCGTTTAAAAAAATAATCGAGTGGCTTTCGCGCGGCATGCGTGATAAAACCTTCGCGCTAAATGATTTACAGCCGCGAAGGTTCATTGCGAAGAAATCGTTCGCGACCGTTTTCGATTCGATTTCACATGGAATTCAATTTCATTCGGTCCCGCCTTTCTTTTTTTCTTTTTTTCTTCTTTCGTTCTTTCTTCCGTTTTTTGGCTTCTATTTTGATTGGTTAACTAGGTCGAGCGAAATGAACCGGACGGCGATACGAATTGAAATTCTTTTCGTGGAAATGTTTACGGTAGAGGGAGCACGTTGCTCTCTCTTTCTGTGACATCGATTGAATTTTGGACGAGTTACGAGAATTCTTTCCTTTTCTCTCCTTTTCGTTTTTTTCTTCTTTTTTTTTTTTTTTTTTATTTCAAACGGATGATCACCAAAGCACGAAAGATTATTGAGTGATATCCTTTAATTAATTGGCACGTGCTAATTACCGCGTTCCCCGTAATTATAATATCATACTGGCATCAATATTTGCCATGCCGATCATTTCGAACAATGCGTTTAATATCTATGTAAATGTTGATTCGTTCATCTTCCTTGCAATAAAACACCTACCAAAACATCTAAATATCACACTCGTGAACTCAGAGAATAAAGAAATTTGTGCTAATTGTTAACTATTAAATTTTTTCACGAAATTCGAATTTGATGCATATTTCTTTCTTTTTTTTTTTTTTTTTTTTATCAATTAAAAAATTATCGGATTTTATTCATAAAGAGTTGCTGAAAGAGAATTCTTTTTCAGTATGTAACCATAAATAATTTAAAGAGTCAAATAGTAATAATATCACTGTCATATGATTTTCAATCAAATTGTAAAGACGTTCTTTCATTGGATGTAACCATTCCTAAAAGACATATCCATCAAAAGCCTTGAGCACCCATGAACACCCTCCGTTGAGACGATAATCTCGAGCACTCGGTCCAAACACTCTAGAACTCGGATTCGCAACCTGTGGGTCGCCCACCACCCTCAAGGATCAGAGATCCTCTCAAGGGCTGCAAAGTGTTTTCTGCGAGAGTCGGCCTGCGGCTATTTTTGGAAAATTTCATCACGGACATTTCCAGCATTTATTCGTTTCAATATAATTACACTGCAATATTCACTGCTGGCGGTCGTAACGCTAATTGTTAATAAGCGAAGGAAACTGACTTGAAGAGTTCTCTTAAAACTGTTACTTAAATTGCTCGTAAATTGCTATTTTATTTTATTTCATTTCATTCGCAAAATTGGAAGCCTGAAAATCAAGCAATTAACGGGATCTGACGGATGATATCGGTTAAAATGTTTTTCAAACTCACCCACGCGTTAAACAGTTTGTATTTTTCCTTCGATCTCGATATTAAGCGAATTCTTATTACAACATTGCGGGAATTGAATAGAATTCGGAAAATAATAACTGTTTTAATTATCTCCTCGGCATGGGTATTTAATATTTAAATTTCCGCCTACGGGCGGATCATTAATTATAAAATAGCATCGCTTTCGCTGTTACTTCAAAGAAGATCGTGAAACGCTACTTGCCAATCGATCTCGCCAAATACTCGCTCGAGCATTATTCCTTCAATACCGATGATATTACATCCAGATGAGAATCCATTCGATATTGAAACTGAAGATGGTATCGCGTGAAAGTGATATTGAATAATCGATGCATACTTTACAGATTCGATATATACCGAGCGATTCATGGGCTTGCCCTCGGACAACCTGCACGGCTACGAGCAAGGCCAACTACTGAACAAAGTGGATAACATTAAAACGAAGATGTATTACTTGATCCACGGGACGTTGGACGACAACGTGCACTATCAGCAATCTTTGTTACTCGCCAAGGTTCTCGAGCAGAAGGATATCCTATTCAGGCAACAGGTAGGATTTACGTCCAAATAATTGATTTATTATATCCACTTTGGAAGGTTCATATTTTTTTTTTTTTTTTTTTTTTTCTAATCAGAAGGAAAACAGAAATTTGTTTCAACGAGTATTACAGTCAGTATATTCTGCTTTGGATACTTTTTTACATTTTTGTTACGTGCGTTCTTTACGTTTTTTTACGTAATTTAATAAAAAAGTACATTTCCATTTCTTTCTTTTTTTTTTAGAAAACAATTCAGAAACTTGAAGACGAATTTTTCAATTTAAAAATACATTTCGCCAAAGGTTTTTGAATCTTTTTTTTTCAATATTACAACCCCTCGTCTATAAAAAGAATTTATTACAGATTAATAAATATAAATTATATTGGACACAACATAACAAATTAGACTAATTAATGCTCACTGAAAAGAATTGGAAAGAAAATCGCGAGGCAAAAGGAATATGATACGATAAAAAGTTAAATTTCTTTCCCTTGCGAAAGAACATCTACTAAACTTTTCGTTTGAAATCTAATTCAATGGAATATACGGCTTATGTTCACGTCTGGCGAACGTTATTCGATTCGTTATTTCACGTTTTTTCGTGGATACATCAAAAAGGGAACGAGTCGAAAACAGCTTACGAAATTATTATGCTCAGCATTCGCCTATTACGGCTATTTGCACGGTTGTTTGAACGTTCGCGATGAAAATCTACAAAGCGCGTGGCAAGTGCAGTTTATTGCCCGTGAATGAATACCTACTGTTTTCGTTTAAGTTCCGCGCGAAATGAAACGAAGCTTTTGTTTAAATGACAATTAGACACAACGCGTAGAATCGTGCCGTTCTCGCTGCGATTCGTCCCTATTTGTTCTCCGTAAATAAATAGACCTTCCATGTTGTTTTATCGTGCGAATAAACTTCGCGAAATATTAAAAGAAAAAAAAACAAAAAAAAAAAGAAAGGAAACACAGGTACTAAAATAACTATGCCGACTCGTGAAAATATTTGGCCACTTACCATGGAAAACTTCTATATCTATAGTTCATGTTTTAAAATTTCATTAGCAGTGTTGCACTAAACACAGACTGGTCACAGTTATATATAATCAAATTTGAAGCGAATATGAAAATTCTATTTCGGTACGAAATCATTTTCCTAATGTAATCCCAATGCAATCTTTTTGATATTTTCATACGACTCCATACATTTCTTCCCCCTAAAAATTTGAAAATTAAAAAATTCTTGGAACGCAGTTTCCATTTATAGTCTCAGTTAATTTATGTATCAATACATTGTGTAGATACAATGGAAAGTATGTATGTATGTGTCTCCAATATCCAAGACTTTTTTTTCAGGGAAATCACAGGAATATTCTGACTGCTCGTTTCATTATTTTTACTATCAATTTCGTCATCTTCAGTGCGCTTGATAAATTGAAATTTCTATGCGCGGGAACTTAATTGTGACAAATATTTGTTAAAATATCTTGAAGTACTTGCTATGAAACTATCAAAAATGTCATTCTATTTTTACAGACATACACGGACGAAGACCACGGGATCGCTCAGTCACGAGCTCATCTCTACCACTCGTTGGAAAACTTCTTGGACGAATGTTACGAAGCCTCATGATCGCAGCGTCGAGGAAAACCGACAATCTAAATCCTTCGCGTCACCTGCGTCACCTGCCTCACATTCCACTTGTAAATACCTTGCCATTTGTACATACTCGATGTACAATAATGTAATATGAAGCGTTAGTGTAAATAACTGAGAACGAAGAATCATGAAACACTCTCGATTCAAACGGTGTCTTGGCCAAAAGGACGTTCTATAATTTCTATATCGTGGCTGGTGATGAAGGAATTTTGGCACATACAGTCGCGAATATAACAATTAATTAATATAACAATTAATATAATTATACACTTGCGAATCGTTTGAATCGAGCGTAACGACTGATTGTTAAGAAAATTTAGACTCGATCCGAAAAATTTTTTTAATCTATTTTTTTGGAGAGACTATCACAATCGTTCATCGAAGGCCTAATGGACTCGAGAGTAAAAAAAAAAATTTCTAGCCCTTTACGAATAAATGAACTAACGTGTATGAACTAAACAGCGCTACATCGCGTGAAACATCCTCGTAAGATGTAAATTTCGCGAAACGAACCGAATGTAATGCGTCGCATTAATCGCCGATCGCTCGATCACTTCGAGAGCAAGATGAGTGTTTTTTTTTTTTTTTTTTTTTTTTGTGAGATATTATATTATATTGTTAACGGACATTAATATTCAATAATAATAACGGATGTTATTAAATATTCTATAGCGAGCGAGGCGAGAATTCGTACGTCGAATTACGAATTTGTAAGACATGTTCCTCTTTCGTTTTATGCATTATATGCGAGGCAAGTGCAAGTTGTGTGAGAAAAGACGTATAGTTGAACGCTTCGGAGAAGCATTCAGAAAAAAGAGAAACTTTCTCTATGAAAGGAAAAGCCTTCAAAAGAGATGCGTATGCAATGATGTATCATCGACGATAAATGATTTATTTTATTTCTTCTATTTTTTGATTTAGAAACTATTGGTGATGGTATATAATTTGTTTTTGCGTTCGATACTGCCGCTTTTCGCGTGTCTATTAACAATTTCAAGTTGCTATTAGGTGCGTTTTACATTTCAGCATGATTATGTATTGTTTTACATTCGAAATGTAACTTCATAGCAAGTAAGTAAGTGTAATCGTTGAAGAGGATTGTTTAAGTGTAAAGATTCCTTCCTGTTGATTTTATCAATGTTAGGATAAAAAGCCTTTTCAACACTGTCATAGTGTGAAACTTCCATTGTGTATATAACTAAGTTGCTGGACTGGTTGTTGAAAAATAATTCCTCGATATATGATAGCGCGTATCTATTTCTCTTTACCATTAAAGAAAATATAAAACATTATTGTGACTAATAGCTAACAATTAAAAATCTATCCCGTAGTGTAAGCGACGTACTAACAGACTCTTTAAATACCAGGATTTTATAATGAAAAGGACCACTGTAATGGTTTCGAAGACAGATTAATAGGAACTTCTTAAAACTAATTGTTACAACTTTTATTCCAATGTACTGTACAAAATATTTAATGGAATATATACAATTAAAAAAAAAAAACAAAATACATTATTACGAAATTTTCATCGTGAATTATTAGGGGGAGAAAAATATAATGATAATTCAGAGTTATTATGAAAATTATTATGATTCATTATTACTATTACCCATTCATTGATATTTGTTGAGTGCATCACAAATAAAGCTCTATGTTTCATTAACGCAGAGTGTTTCATGTTTTGATGGTTATTTACCAATCATCTAATTAAATGACATTGAATGTAAAAATTGAAATGTGTAATAAAAATTTCTGTTACGAATTCTCTGTCTCTTTGAATCTGAAAATGAAACCTCCTTTAAAAAGAAAAGTTTTCCTTTCCTCTGAAAAACATTTCCTGCCTTCCAGAGAGTAACTTTAAAAAAAAAATGAACATACTTGCACTTGGTGCATGTGTAAAATACTGTCTGCCCTTCATCTGCTGATCTCAGTTGCAACGTAGCATAAGACATTTTGTTATTCTGACACTGAGGACATTTCCTTTCGACGATTGGACCTTCCGCCTCTTCCTCTTTGTCATCCTTTTGCTTTGACGAACCATAAACGTTCTTTTTGTTAAAGTGAATAACGTACGACATTTCCATATCTCCGAAAGCTAACCTCAAAGATAAAATTCAAAAAGCAATCGTTTACAATTATTCTTTACAATTCTGTGGCAACGGCAAGTAATTCTCACGCAACGGAACACAGAAGTTTGAAAAGGGAATAAAAGAAAAAAACAAAAAGAGTAGCTACCTTCGGGACCCCAAATTTTTTTACAAGCGTAACACTGTACATTGCCTGTTTCTTCTAACAATGGTAGAATTGACCCACAATCAGAACAAAAACCAGGAGTACTTATAAAAGAACCAGTGGATTTACTCTGCGCCATTTGAGATCGAGCAAATACAAGAATCGTAATAATAAATAAATAACAACGATACCGAGTCAACGCGCACGTGAACCGAGAAAAAAGGCTTCTGCTTCAATCATTAAACACAACGCACAATCTAGAGTGGAAACCAATAAACCAAGACAGAACAATTGTCACGAGTGCCTCTCTTATATCTACGTTTTCTGTGTTTGCTACATAGAAATCGCCCTAATATTAGATATATAGATGTACGCCGCACGGCGTTCTTGCGCGTGTATGTTTTGCTCGTTTACTCGATCAGAACCGGCAAAATGGACGATATAGCGCTCCGAGTGTCTGATCATGTTTTAGAAGTGATATTTTCCTATTTAGACTTGCAAACGTTGAGAAACTGTTCGCTGGTGTGCAAACGATGGAACCGTTTCCTAAACGATGAGAATAATGAAGCGTGGAGGATGCACTGCATCAGAAAGTTGGCTCAGGAGGCGCTTAGTTCTGATTTATTGTCGTCGGTGCCTACTTACAAATCGAAGCTCCGTGCGTTTTACCACGCGTGGAATCCTAATGACTGCTCCCGTAACATTTACATTAGGCCCAATGGATTTACCATGCACAGGTAGAACCATGGATTCTGTCATCACCGCGTGTTAAATTCGTGGTTTATGCGATGTCAAACTTCGTTACTTTCGATCGAATTTTACGCGTACTTTACGTACTTTAATATCAAAGATTAACGAGATACGTAAAAATCTGCAGCTAATTTTTTAATGAAAATAATTTAACGATACGATTGTAAAATGTAAACCTTCGAGTGTGGTTCTTTTTTTTTACATATAAATGCCAAGTGAGTGCTTGAATGTTTACTACTTGAGTTATAGGAATCCAGTTGCTCAGAGCACAGATGCCTGTAGAGGTAAAATTGGCTTTCGGCATGGACGTCATGCTTGGGAAGTCATTTGGGAAGGACCTTTGGGAACGGTAGCAGTAATAGGCATTGCTACAAAAGAAGCACCTCTTTTGTGTCATGGATATGTAGCATTAGTTGGCTCTGACGAACATTCATGGGGATGGAATCTAGTAGATAATCACCTGTTACACAATGGAAATGTACAAGGGAATTATCCCTTGCTTAATAATGCTCCAAAATACCAGGTACGTTATATTTCTTTTTATGATAACACTTTTTGTACAGGTAGAAGAATATTCCCTAAGGTACCAAAATTTTATAATTAACAGGTTGGGGAAAGAATTAGAGTAATATTAGATTGTGATGATAACACGTTATCTTTTGAAAGAAATTATGAATTTTTGGGAGTGGCATTTAGAGGTATTGTATCCTATTTGCTTTCCGACTAACAATAGATGTGTTTTATAAGGAGAATTTCTTTTTTTTTATTAATAATAAATTAAATATACAGGGTTGCCAGACAAAAGACTATACCCGTCTGTATCTGCCGTATATGGGAATACAGAGGTATCTATGGTGTACTTAGGACCACCTCTAGATGGCTAACACTTTACTTCTGGTAGATCCCCTGAGGCTTGATCAAGGCTGTATGTTGAAGTCTGGATGAGTGCAAATTTTTTGCATCAAAACGTCTACTATGAAGTAGAATAAGCACACGAATGAACTGATACATTTTAAGAGAGATGTGTGCCTGTTCATTCAGTCAATAACATTGTAAATAGTATTAGCATTCCATTTCAATCGATAAATCCATGGTAGTGCTTTATACAATGCTAACAGTTACTCGACAAGCAACATCCATGAATTACACTCGAGATCATATGTTCGCTAATAACTAGCGATCTGTATACATTTGATAATGAAATTTCTCGTTTCATTTTCACGATTGAAAGTACTTTTACACGAGAAAGTTGAGTGACGTATCACTGATTTCGAAATAAACATGTAAAAAATATTCTTGAATTAGGAAAAGAAGTTCCTCTGCGAAGAAGATATAAACGTTCTTCTATAAGCGGAAATGAATCGGAATTATTTTGAAATTTCAAGTTCTTTTTAAATCATGTAGATTAAAACTTTTTAGTTGATATTTATGCACATAGAAATAAGTATTATTCTTTACTCTTCCATGCAGTATTAATATTCGAGTCGTTGTAAAAATATATGCTTTATATGAATCATAAAATCTACTCATATGCCAAATAAATGGCAAATTCTTACTTGTTTATGAAATAGTCACATACTGTGGTAATTAGCTTATTTCTTACCACTATTTACAAAGTCTACCATTTAACATTACATTTGTTATTTTTGTCATTTTTATGACTTATGCATAATTTTGTAGGAATTATGAAAGAAACAGCTGTGATTCATTTATATTTTATTAGCATATCTGTTTTTTCAATGATGTCTGCACAGGCGTTTTACTTATTTATTTATGGCTGTTGAAGCGCGTTGCGTATGGCTTACAAGACATTTCACATTTAATAGATTAAATACTAAGGTCCTTTCTTACAAAAATTTATGCGCTTCAGTTTTTTTTTTTTATTATATATAGATATTTATACATATTTTAAATTAATATTTATTTCCTAATGGTAAGAAGAGACCTTTTTCTTTTTAACACTGATAGAACTCAAGCAGCGAAATCGTCAAACAAATCGAAGACAACTTCGTAATTACAGTATACAGGGTGTTCCACTTAAAGTGTTCATAGCTGCTTTATTTTTCAATGTATAAAGCAATGTCGTAAATTGTAAAATATCAAATTCCGATCGATTTGTATGATAATTAATAATTTTCCTTTTTAAGTAGAGCGACGTTAGAAAATGAAACTAGTACCTGTGGAATTCATCTATGTAATATCATAGTCGAACTGATTTTTTTTTTTTTTTTTTGTTTTTTACGAAAATTTTGCGTTACGGTATACTGTGTGTAATATAGCTTTGTGTGTAAAGTTCCATAGTCGTGAAATCATCATGTATTCATATTCACGGTGTGAAATTCAATGATCACTATTGTGATTGATGCACAACAGGTTTTATTTAATTAATGTAATCAACACTTCGATTCGCTTACGCATTTAGTCTGGGAAAATCATGTGTCGACTATGTGTGAAAGTTGTATATCGTGCTTTGTGAAATGTATTTGTAGATAGTAATTAATCACCGGCGTCGGCGATCGACGCTGCAACGTCAAGAGATATTTCATAAATCACGAGAATGGTTTTTTAATGTATATATTTATTATCGTCATTATGTTTGTTACGTGTAGCTTCAATGAAATTAGGTTTTTCTAAACTTTTGTACAGAATCGTGTACATATAATAGCGATCATGAGATGTATGAGGGGGAAATAAACCTTATTTCGTATATATCCAATGGTTTCATTCGCATAAATAGCAAACATTACGAGTCATGGACTGATTTAGAACTAATACCTCTCTTCCGATCGATGATCGATATACAGTTGAGTCTCCATGGGAAAAAAGCATATTTCTCGTTTTAGAAAATGCGAAACGTAATATAAGTTACTTCGATAATACGAACTACCAATATTACACGTGGAGTATAGTGGTGCCTTATTACAATTCTTTCGATGTAATCTCGATGTGATTACAATAATACAATGATAGTATTAAGAAGTCCAATTTTAATCGACATGAACCAGTTGAAACGATTCGAACCATCGATGAGAAAAGAAACCAAAGTACATCGTTTTGTAAATACACGTGTTACACGCGCATCATGTAACCATATTCGCGAAACTATTCTGTACAAACGTTTAGAGGAAGTGTGAATTAGTCGTGATACGATTAAGCTTGGAACACCGGTATACTTGCGCGTATATCAGAAGTGTGAGAGTTTTAAATAAAAAGAAGAAAAAAAAGAATGTACATCGCTCTGTAAATAAATTATTTTATTTTAATGCTTTAATGTTTGTATTGTTGCATATCACGAATTATAATGACCGATAAATGTCGATGCTTTTCTTCTACAAAAGAGATAGAACAAGGAGTATTTCGTATCATGATTTCTCATTTATTTAAACCATTTATACAATAAATATTTCGTACAAACCTCTTTCACTTCATATCCCGTACAATTCAATACGATTTTAATATTATAACTCGCGATCGAACATAATGTTTCTTTCATCCCTTGTTCTCTATGAAACTTCACGTTTAGTACCAAATTTGCAACATGACCACTATCGTTATAACAACGACGCTTTCCATAGCTTACAAAAATATAACAGCAATTTGTTGTACATTTAATTTTTATTGCTGTGCAACTTATAGATAAATAAGTATTAACTTAAGTGTACATACATTAAAGATTCAATGTTACCACAATGTTGTGATTGAATCATAATTGAAATTATTAATTGAATTCAACTGTCTTTGGTGCATATTAGGACTTTGAATCTTACACATATACGTGATCTTCATCGCGGATGCTTACTCGAATGTAAGAGGAATAACAGAGCTGCAAATTTGAAGGAATATAGATTTACATAGTACATAATTCCTCCTGTACATAATACATATATGTCCTAATCTTTTTACTAAATCTATTAAGAAATAGCGTGAATGCAGATTAAATATTTCTTGTTGCACAGCATCATTCAAATGGCTAATATTTAGTTTTTATCACAAAACAATCATTATTACAAAAGTTCATTTTCTTGTGATAATATATTAAAAATCAAAATTTCCAGAAATTTTCCGAGGCCTTTGTAATTGCAAGTAAAATTCCATTATTCGCATTATTAAAATAAAGATTAGCTAAAAAGTGCACATAATTAAAGCTTAGAATCATAAACATCAAAATATCGAATTTTTACAATAACATTTTCCTTTATCCAATTTTTGCAATTTGATAGAAGTTAATGGAAATATTTTTTAATGTAGAAATAATAACAAATTAAATTTATGACAAGAAAAAAATATTTTTCATTGTTAGGCCATAAATACATTTTTTAAAGTTGATAAATTTTATTTATAACATTCTGTGAATTTATTTCATTATTATGAGCAAATATTCACTTTGTAAATTTAAAATTTGATAATTCCACAAAAATAAAAATATAAAAATAGATTTAAGTATTGGATATTATTGCAAACAATTCCAAAAATTTGGACGAATTGCAAAAAAAATAATAAATAAAAGTTTTGGCAGTTGCTACATATAAAAATCATTGCAGTATTGTAACAATATGGAATGTATTGAAGACCTAAACTAAATATTTCATTGTGTGCACACTATTAACATAATTTATCAAATCTATTCGAAACGGATAAGCAATGACTTTATCAATTATTAATATATTCATATTTTGTTCATATATCACATAATGCAATTAATCATTACATATATCGCAATAAATCTGCTTTATTATAACTGGAATATTTCTGAAAAAGATATTCTATAAAGATAATGAGAATTATCTAGCTTAATTTGAAATATATATACATTAAAATAATATTTTAAACTTAAAATAAATCACAAAATTCATTGGTGTGCTTTTTTTAATTACAACAAGTGTTGTACACTATTTTCATGGCTAAAATTGTAGCCACTAATTGTAGTATAATAAGATAAGCATTAAAATAATGTAATAGTTACACATATAAATAATGTGTAACCATAAAAGAAGGAAATTAATTCCTTAATTATTCTCCAAAAATAACATGCATGACTAGTTTCATAAAACAATTAATAATATACATAGGAATATTTATATATCCATATAATATGGATAATCTCAAACAGGAACAAAAGCTATCATACCAAAAATATAACATGCGAAAAAATCTCAATACTGCATTTTTAAAAAATGCTATATTTTTCAATAGGAAATGATTTGCAAATAACATTCCTAATCACAGACGCATCAGAAATGCGAGATCATTGGACTCTCGTAATCTCATATTAAAGAATCTTTCCACTAAGTGGATAATATGTGCTACATAACAGTAGTAGCACCTAGTTTAAAGTTCATTACATATTTATATTTTAAAGTTATAAATCCCTAATTTCTATTACAGTTTGCCCTGTACTGTGTCTATTTACTGTTATCACACGTATAGTGCGAAAAAATAACTACAAACGTGTTTTATTCAGGAAAAGGACCTCCAATCTTTACAGATCGTGACTGTACAATTCACATATGAAAAACACAAAATAATTTGTGTTCATTCAATTATTGACATGTAAATTTATCTATCTGTTTAGATCATGTACTCACTGATTTGCAGCGGAAATCATGTCCACCAGAATTGCGAAATATCGAATTAATTTACGTGAGTATGTCCATTGCCTGAGGTATTTGCATCTTCGTGTAATCTCTCGTTATCTTCCATTCTGTTGTTTCTTGCAAGTGCGCAATCGAGCGTCGGTTTCACTCTAGTTGGCGGAAATTTCGTTAATAGAAAATTCGATACATAGCAGAATAGTTTGCTTAACAGTGGACATAATATTCCTTGATGAATAAATGTCCATACTCGATAATATTGACCTTCAAAAGGATCAAGAATAGCTGCACATAGCATGTGACTTAGATTTACTTGTACTGGCTAAAAAACGGAATGTTAAAACAGAGTAGATCGAAATAGAAGACACGTGTAAATATGAACATGAGATAATACATACCAAGGCAATGACTTGAATAACCCAGAAATGATAAGCTAAATTTATTCCATAGCTCAAAACAGACCAACTCATGTCTGATAAACGTTCCACGTTATATACACCTGAACATAAGAATTACAATAGTGTTACATAATGAATTCTGTCTTGTGATTTTCAAATTAATCAGAGAAAATTAATTGTAACTACCTCCAATTCTCATTAAGTAATATGGTATCACTACCATCAAACCATGCTGAATATAATACATTGCTTTATCAGCAAATATCTGAAACAATTATATTAATGTGAATTTGAAACATACAATACATATTTATATATGTTTCTTAGTAGAACACAATAGTAAAACATGATTTACTCTGCGAGATTCTGTCTCTGGGAATAAGTAAGCTAAAAGTGGTCCATTCATGAAGTTCAAGTGTATCCTGAAGATTGCTGTTACTGTAGGACTAGGATCTGCTGCCAGTAAATATAACTATATTACAAAAAAATGCAATAATTAAGTAAATAAGCACGAATAAAATGGATATACTTCTTATTTAATCAATTCTACTAATTTTACCTGTACAGCTGTTGTCACATGACAGGGATTTAGTATATATATAACTGTCCTGCTGGTAAACTTGAAACCAATTTCCATTCCTAGTACTAATGACATAATAATTAATAATACTCTTCTACCAACACGATCATGATTTACATATGATACTTTGGTTGGCAATTTAATGTGTCTGTAACCCCAGACTAGAAAGATTACTATGAATATGGATATAAATAATGTTTCAATGATCCTTCGCTTTGGGCTTAGGTAATTTGCACACTCTGGTCCCACATTACGTGGTATCGAGGCATTAACACCATCATATGCCCATTCAAACATTGCTATGAATTCTTTTTATACAGCTGAAATGAAAGAAGGTGGAATTAATAATTCGGCTGCAAACTGGACCACGTTTAAATCTGCATTATCCGCAATGCCGAATTTCAACTTATGACACAAAATTTTTCAACTATCAGCCAGAACATTTTACTGGGAAATGTGAGTTGTATTTTAACGTAATTGAACAACTTGCTGGACATATGGAATCATTAGTAAATAATGATATCCACTGTTTGAGTATCATATTAAAAAAATGTAATTATCGATTCACCGGAACGAAGAAGATTCTTTAAATAGAAAAATCATACAACTAAACGTACGTATCTGATCTTACGTCGTACTAAACGTGGAAGTACTGCAGAACACTTTGAACTGATATGTACGTGTAATAAGCCGCATTAAATATAAACAAGCATCACACTTTATATCATGTATTTGCTATTGACAAACACTATCAAAGACTCGTAAAGCCTCTGTTATCATTTTCCAGTAATTTTTAACGTTACCGATTCAGCAAAAAATAAGATTACGATATAATTACAGAGTGATATGGTCGGGTGTACTGTATCAAACAGATGGCGCTATGACATTCTGCTGGCAGATAATTTTATTTTAATGAATACAAAAATAAATTGAGCTAGACTTGAATATAGTTAATTGAAGAACAATTATAATTTGCGTTCCTGTATTTTATAAAACGCATATATAATGCATTTTTTGTACTCTTTTGTACATCACAGCACAGACGAGGTATATGAATAGACTAACCATACAATCATTGACTAAAGATAGAATAGATTAGACATGAAATGGAATTTAATGTATCAGAGTCTGCAATACCGACCAGGAAAAAAAATTGGCTTTTTAGCGCACTGTATCCTCAGGCACAGACGAGGTACATATATGAATAGACCAAGCCACACCTCGTCTGTGGTGGAGCTAAAAAACCAGTGATTTTTTTATGTTGGTATTTTAGGTCACAGGCCACAAAATCCCATAAGATGCTTGATCTATTTATATATGTACCTCGTTTGTGGCTGTAGTGCAAAACTTGCCTGAATCGGTACAACAGGATGTGACACGAAAATGGTAAAGGGGTCCTAAGACCCTCCAATCGTGGACCGAAAAAATACATTCTATGCGATGTCTATTTATATACCTCGTCCGTGCCTTAAGCAACGATGAATTGAACTATATCAAGTAAAATGATACAAAAACAGACGAGAAGTGTAGAAGAAATTAAACTAGTTTAATTGTTGCAAACAAGCTAAATAATATCGACTAATCTTTAGAAATATAAAAAATAATTTAATTGTCATAAATGAATTATTGAAACTATGAAATAACATTTTAAAATGTAAAATAATTAAATTACTGGTTCAATTGTTACAAATAAATAGTTAAAATTATTAACTAGTATATAAAAATATGGAAACGTAGTTTCGCTTTGCAAAAAATATATAACTTAGTATTTGTTGTTACAAAAATCTAAAAATGATCAAATTGAATACTATGGAGGGTGGATGAGATTAAGGCCCAGGTCAAGTCATCTTCTTGTGATTAGAGCTGGTAATTGATATCGTGTTCCAAATTTTAATTTTTGCAAAACAATATCAAAATAAGAACTATGCAATCTACAGTCTAGACCGTAAAATTTTTTTTTTTTTTTTTTTATTTCACTGGTCTAGACTAGACTGTAGGAATTAGTTAATAAGTAAACTATTAAATTCTCCCAAGGCGGGCCACTGGCCCCGTGGCGTAACAAAAATTGTTTAAATGGGAATATCTTGAGAACCAATAGATATATTTCGCTGAAAATTTTAATTTTGTATCAGATCGTAAGAACAAGACACGTTTATTCAACTGAACGAAATAAAGGAAACGAAGCTACTGACACGCTTTATTCATAATATCGTGCTTTGCAATGGGGATAATAAGAAATAAATGCTACGGTTTGTCTTTCGCTGTGTACCAAAACAAGGCTCGACCACATAGAGGTGAGTAATCTAATTTGGACACAGTTGGATTTCGAAGAATTGTAGAATCAGATTACAAAGGACGCTAGACTACAAGAACCTCACCTCGTCCTTTTGGACATTAATTTTTTATCACAGATGAGATACTCCTATATTTCGCTCGTGGTAAAAAAGTTACTCAACATTTTCAGTGACTGGCAAATCACTTGGTTGATAAATACGTCAGCTCGTAGATGTCGCGTGGTTATTTGAAAAAGCAAGCCGAGTATCCACCAGGGACGAAGATCACGCGAGCGATAAAACTCGTGCTTACGGTTACTATTAATTAAATTTATGAGTCAGTGAAAAACTATCTGACTAAGTAGAATAAATTACCGATAATATCTAAAGGATTAATCGATCAACCAGCAGAAAACGTTCGAGTATGCTAATGTACTTTTGTTGCTTAATTAAAACAGCATACGCCAATCCGTGCGTTAGTTTAACAAACTTTCTTCATTAATAAAATAATCTTTTACGTTTGAATTTTTTACGTTGTAATGGAAACTTTTATTCTCTTCAGACGTGGTACATATTTGATAAAAATTTTCAGCTAACGAAAACGGCGTAAAACGGAGGAACACAGGAGGAATCGCTGTTTGGTTGCTCAAATTTTTTAGTCTTTTCTTAAGTAAGATTAATTTTAACTTCTTAAGTAAGATTAATTTTAAAATAATCTCAATGTTTTACAAATACACGCGAATTCTAATTTAATAGAAACTTTGAACGTATTATATAATATGTAATGTGATAGTATTAATAACGAATTTTAAAACAACAGAAATATCGATATCGTAAAAGAGCGGAATCGCTATAAAAAAAACCGATCGATCGGTGCATTAAAACTCGGTGACGCAAATACAACTGTATAATTAATAACTAAGGGAAAGCTCGAGGGAAAATAATGGCAGCGGCACAGGAGAGTGCAGAATCATCATCTGATTAAAAAAAGAAACACGATCGATCAGTGAAGGGTTGGTCAGATTTCCAACATGGTCCAAGAACTTTTACTTTCTCTTCAAACAGATAATATTTATAGTCACTTTTGTACAACAATGACACGACGTTCTTCCAGAAGAGAGTATTTAATCTATAATTAAATGACTGAGGTAAAAAAAAAAAAAAAAGGTGAATCTCTCATGAAAGAACAAAAGATCGTGATCTTTTGAAAAGCACGATCGATACATAAGCGATCTATCAAATCTAATTTTTTAATTTTCTAGCAGAAACTTTCCTTCCTTCCACATATTGCTCGAGGCAGACAAGACGAATTTTCCAGGAAAGGACAAAGAAAAATATCGTTAAAATCTTCTTAAAACACCTAAAACCTAACTTCTTGCTATATAACTTCTACACCCCCTAACCGTATTGTATACTCATCAACACATATATAACTATGTCTAATTGACAATTAAAGAGCCCCAATGCCAAAGAGATGGATCTTCCGTGAAAAAATCGTCACCTCCTTGAAACTCGTGTTCGATCGGTGCAGTGTAAAAGGGTTTGAAATTCTTCTTCGGCATTCCCTCAGCTCGTCAAATCGACGCGTGTACGGCACACCGCGTGTCGATGCAAGGCGGAGCACAGGGTGTATCGGTGTATCGGAGCAGATTCGCGTCGCCAGTGGCCGAACGTGTCATGTGTGCGCGCCGTAAAGTGAGCAGCTTGGCACTTGCAGTTGCAGCCTTTAGGTTTGAATAAGGGGAGGAGCCTTGTTGCATTTCCAACGCAATTATCCCCATTCTGCCACGGCTTCCATTCCTGTTTCGTGCCTGCCGCATCTCTCTCTCTCTCTCTCTTTCCCTATCGAGTGTACACAATGCGCCGCCATCTTGGTCGCGTGCATTCCTCCGTTTTCTCGATTTTTTTCCCCCCTGTTTCTGGCTGCCTGTTCTTCTTTTCCCCTTATTTTCTTCTTTTTTTCTTTATTTTTCTCCTCTCCTCCGCACAAACCAGTCCCAGTCCGACGGGAACCAACGATTCGTCGGTTGCAACCCATCTGCAAATTCTACCCGCTTCTTCGTCAAGTCCCATGGATCACGAAGGTGTTGCTCGAGAACCTGGTCGCACTCGCAAATTGGTCTCCATCTCCAGATTCTGCTCGATTCCGTTCTTTACGCTCTTCGTTCGTTCATTTGTTTCTTTTTTTTTTTTTTTTTTTTTTAATTGACATCCAGATCTTTGAGCTACTTGGTTCATCGTGGCGGATGCAGCGCTGAATATCTCCAAGTTTTCTGCCAAGACGTTGTGGAATCTATCATTGAAACTGTTTTGGAGCAAGCGTAGTTCGTTTATTCGCTTGGCGCTTTATTTAAACTTAATCTTGTCAAGTATGAACTGATGGATGAGAATCATAGGTTGAAGATGCATTAGTCTTAGAAGATTTTGATATTATTGGAGCTACTTCCGAAAAAGAATAGCTCGTTCTTAACTTGCGAGTGGGAGTTTTAAAACATTTGGACCATCATGATAGATAAAAATTGGAAATCATGGATACATCTGTCATAGTTTCTTGATCTTGTAATTGTTTTGGGAAAGAGGAATACACATTTCTAAGGATTCGTGGTAACTAAACTTGCACCAACGATCTCGCAAACGCACCTACCTCGTGCTCCAACGATGAAAAATGCGACAAAAGTTGTGAATGGGATTTTATTTTTCATCTCAGACGATGTATCGTGACTAAATTCGTTTTCCACAGGCTATTTCCCGCGGAGCTAATGAACGTTCTAATCTAATTAACGCTTTACGCAACCATTCTTGCGACGATTATCGAGCCAACGGGTCTCGAAATCTGACATTTTTTAAGAAACAATATTTCTCCTCTGTACTAATTTGGTATGATATACTTGTAAAAGAGTTCGCTATCCGTCTAATTAATCTCTCACGACCAACGAAAAGTGTGGAGAGTAAAAAAAGAAAAAGAAAGAAAATTCCGGCAGAAATGCGGAATGATGGAATGATAAGATGATGATCGTGGTTAGCGGAACACGAGGAGGTTCGATCGTTAGGCGGATTTCCCGTTACCAGAGGCCGTATTTCAGCAGGATGGCGGGTAATAAACAGCAACGGCAGTAACTAGCAAACGGTGTCTCGTTATATCCACGGATTCCGTGCGAGCAATTTCCGTGCAACTGACAACCGTAGCGAGAGGACAGAGCACGGGAGCACAGAATACACATACACGTGACGCTCGAGTGTGATAATATATTTTTTTTTCTCTCTCACTCTCTATTTTTTCACTCTTCCATTCTTCTCTTTCTCCCCTGTCTCTCTGTTTTTTATATTTTACAACGAGACCCGCGTGCATTCGTGGGAATACGCAGTTGTTACGTTATTGATACAGTTCTTTTATCTCTTGTACGCGCGTGTGTGTGTGTGTGTGTGTGTGTGTATATATATATATATATATATATATATATTTCTGTTTCGAAAGTAGAATTAACTAGGTTGACGTTTATCGATAGCGAGGGATCGACCGTGGCCAGCCGCGTGCATTATTAAGCGCTGTTAACTTTGTACACTTGTGACATACGTGCACCGCTCATTATCGCGATTTAAGCACGTCCGCTATCGCGTTGCATTGGACGTTGGAACAACGGCACGTGAAATCGTTTCGCTGAAACCGCGGTTTAGACAGTGGTTCTAATCTTGATCCCTGGAAACACACCTATGTTTCCTCGTGCTTTTTTTTCCACCCCCTCATCCCCCTCCTCCCCCTCTCTTTCTCGTTGTAAAGTTATAC